GGTATTGGTTGAACTTCAGAACACAGAAAATGACAGAAAGGTAAGGACTGTCAAAATTGCCGGAGATTAAAGAAATTGAATTTACATCCAAAAACCATCTACTCTTTGCATGTAGGATGAGAAAAACAGCGTGTTCAACCGTTTATGAAGAGATGATTTCTATTATTTTATCGAATTTCGTTTTCAAATCTTTATTTTTCTTAGATATTCAGAGTGAGCTTTGTAATTTTGATTGCAGAGGAGTATGATGCTTACATCATAGTGTCCTTCGTGAATGCTACTCTTGTACTTAGTATTGGAGAAACTGTAGAAGAAGTGACTGATTCTGGATTTCTTGGTACCACGCCAACTCTAAGCTGTTCTGCTTTAGGTGAAGATGCTTTGGTACAGGTATGTAAAGATTATATAATCTTATTTTCGCACTACGGTATCTCCGATTCCTGGTCTATCACGAATCGGTCGCAATAAATAGTGCTAGATTATATAGAGTTCTTGCATCGTTGAATATTTAGATAATTTCTCTAAATATTTCTGGTAAATTGAACTCGACATAATTCCTATTGTTAAAATATTTTTGTTTTTAATAAATTATTATTTATTATTATTAGTTTATTATTATAATTTTATTATATTTTATTTAGGTTTACCCTGACGGAATACGTCATATTCGAGCAGATAAACGTGTAAATGAATGGAAAGCACCTGGTAAAAAAACTATAGTGAAATGTGCAGTAAATCAACGTCAAGTTGTAATTGCACTCACTGGGGGAGAATTGGTATACTTTGAAATGGATCCCGTATGTTTATATTAATTTTTTAATTCATGTTTATTAATATTATATTATTCGAATTACATTTTTTTTTTACAATATTAATTCTCAAAGAAAGAAAACGTAATACGTACAAATAATACATCGTTTTTCATTTTAATTAATGAAATATTGATTGTTTGAATTAGATAAAAAATGGAAAATTTCTAAATCTATTTAAATTTAATAATCTTATAATTTTATATTTCTTAGACTGGGCAATTAAATGAATATACAGAACGAAAAAAAATGCCATCAGAAGTAATGTGTATGGCTCTTGGTAATGTAGCAATTGGTGAACAAAGATCATGGTTCTTAGCAGTTGGTCTTCAGGATAATACAGTAAGGATCATTTCTTTAGATCCTTCAGATTGTTTAGCACCTAGGAGTATGCAAGCTCTACCTGCAGCTGCAGAAAGTTTATGTATTGTTGAAATGGGTGCTAAAGATGCAAATAATTCCGAAGAATTATCACTTCAGCAATCCAGTCTTTATTTAAATATAGGTAAACAAAATTAAAAATAATATTATAGTATTTTATATCTATAATATTCTTCATCTCTTAAATATATACTGTTAGGTCTACAAAACGGTGTCTTGTTAAGAACAGTATTAGATCCAATTTCGGGTGATCTCGCTGATACACGGACGCGATATTTGGGTTCCCGAGCCGTGAAATTATTTAGGATAAAAATGCAGGGAAATCAAGCTGTGCTTGCAATGAGCAGCAGATCATGGTTGAGTTATTATTATCAGAATCGTTTTCATTTAACACCACTGTCCTATGAAAGTTTAGAATTCGCATCAGGCTTTAGTTCTGAACAATGCCCCGAAGGAATTGTTGCTATTTCGACAAATACACTCAGAATTCTTGCCCTCGAAAAGTTAGGTGCAGTGTTTAATCAAATTAGTTTTCCATTGGAATATACTCCAAGAAAATTTGCAATTCACTCGGACTCTGCACATCTGATAATTATTGAAACGGAACACAATGCATATACAGAAGAAACAAAGCAACAGAGAAGATTACAAATGGCAGAAGAAATGCAAGAAGCTGCGGGAGCAGAAGAGGCTGTAGTAGCAAGAGAATTAGCGGAGGCTTTTTTATCCGAGGAACCCAATGAAGCTGTGTTTGGTGCGCCAAGAGCTGGACCAGGTTTATGGGCATCGTTAATAAGGATAATCGCTCCCTCAACAGGACAAACATTTGAAGTTCATCGACTCGAGCAAAATTTAGCTGCTTTATGGTAAAAATATAAATAAATATTCAAGTATATAAGATGATTATCTTAGAAAAAAATTATTATTATTATTTTAAATGAATTTGTGTTACAGTTTAAGCCTTGTGAAGTTTGCTAATCAGGGTGATCAACTATTTCTGATAGTTGGTATCGCAAAGGAATTTCAATTAAATCCAAGAGTAAGCAGTGGCGGTTTTCTGTATACATACAAGTAAATATAATCTATAATTATGATCAAGTTTTTTTGTATAATTAATATATTAAAATAAATTAATTAATATATGTAAAATATAAAAATAATATAATAAAATATAAAGATGTAAAAAAAAATATTACAAAAATTTTTATGATGAAAAAAGAACACAATTACTGCAATGCAATTTGATGAAAAAGTCCTGCAGTTCTGAAATATAAATTCAATATAAGATATATACATAAAAAGAAAAACAAATATTATATAACAAATTTTTTTTTTTCAGAGTAAATAGCGAATGCACCAATCTCGAATTAGTGCACAAAACTACTTTGGACGAAGTACCTTTAGCTATATGTCCGTATCAAGGAAGAGTATTAGTTGGTGTTGGCAGAATGTTGCGCTTATACGATATGGGCAAGAAAAAGTTGTTAAGAAAATGTGAAAATAAACATATTCCTAATGCTGTTGTATCTATCAATGCAATTGGACAAAGAATTTATGTGAGTGATGTACAAGAATCTGTGTATGCTGTCAGATATAAACGTCAAGAAAATCAACTTATAGTCTTCGCCGACGATACACACCCAAGATGGATAACTACAACATGCGTGTTAGATTATGATACTGTTGCTACTGCTGACAAGTTTGGAAACATTGCTGTTGTAAGTAATACAACAACATTTATTTCGATAATTAATTAGAAGTAAGATGATTTGAATAAATATTTAAATTTTGTATTTAAATAATAATAAATATTTAAATATTCTTTAACAGATACGTTTAGCAAGTGGAATTAATGATGACGTGGATGAAGATCCAACTGGAAATAAAGCATTATGGGATAGAGGTTTATTAAATGGTGCCAGTCAGAAAGCGGATACAGTTGCTTGTTTTCATGTTGGCGAAACAGTTATGTCTCTACAAAAGGCAACCCTTATTCCTGGTGGTTCTGAAAGTTTAGTGTATACGACATTAAGTGGAACAGTTGGTGTTCTCGTTCCTTTTACAAGTCATGAAGATCATGATTTTTTCCAACATTTGGAAATGCATATGCGTTCGGAACATCCCCCACTTTGTGGAAGAGATCATTTATCATTTAGGTCATATTATTATCCTATAAAGAACGTTATAGATGGAGATCTTTGTGAACAATTTAATTCTATTGAACCTGCAAAACAAAAAAGTATATCGAGTGATCTCGAACGAACAGCTTCTGAAGTATCGAAAAAGCTCGAGGATATTCGTACACGATATGCCTTCTAATTTTTTTCTTTTTATTATAATTTATTACCGAATTAGTAAGTGTTATATTTAACAAATTTGCATTCCGTTTTTATGAATCCAACATGTTTTTCATAATAATGAACAAATATGCGCACTGTTTAATCATTTGTAAAAGAAATTCTATATATACATTATTTTTAATAGGTAGAAAAAAAATGAATAAAAATTTGTACGCAGTGTGTAATAAATACGAATAATGTTTTATGTGACAAGTATGATAGAAAAATTTTAAAAAAAGCTTTATTTAAATTAAAAAAAAGTTTACTTATGGTAAACGAATAGATTTTTAAATTAAATTGAGTATGTAAATTTTTATATATTTTTTTGTTTCATTATAAAACAGTATAGTTGAAAGTTTTAATCTTTTTGATAGGATAAAATTATATATTCAACTATCTCTACAATTCGATATGTATATCAGATGTGTGTGCTACAAGTTTTGACGAAACTATAAAATGATGATTGCAATGTTGAAAAATACATGTTTTTGCCAACATTTTATATTCTGGAAATATTATTTCTAAGAATTTTTTATATTCTTAATTTTTTTTCTTTTTTATTTTAATCTTAGTAAGTTTTAAATTTAGTGAACAAAAAGACTAAGCTGGACGCTGATGTGTAATGAAGAAAAAAATGTAGAAAACATTTCGCTGACCTACTTCAGTATTATATATAGCATTTACATAAATTTAAATATACTGTCTAAACTTAAATTATTCACGTTAGACGATCATTTTCTTGTGCATTTAAATTATTTAAATATAATTAAATCTTTAGATTAAAATTGAATATTTTATGTAAATATGTGAAATTTTTTTTTATTACTTTAAAAAATAAATTCAGTATAAATTATGTATTTATTTATAAATTTTCAAAAAGAACAAAGTTCTTTCATTTTCAATTCCAAGATTAAATGTATACTTTCTCTGTATTATTATTTTTTTGCGAGAAAACTGGGAGCTCATTTCTTTTTTCCACTATTATTTTTTCTTACATACATTCCTTTTTTGACCTACAATTTGTCGTCAATAGCGTTTAATGTTGTAGTTCGCATTTTTCTCGGTAAGCTTTGAAGTGCAAAGTTAATCCGTGTGCCGAAGCGTATCGAGGGTAACGCAACGATATTATCCCCATTTAACCTTCAAACTAATAAATAGGCTATGGGATATGAAGTTTCGTTTAAAAACATATCATTTAAAATAAGAGAAAATATATGCAGAATAAAAAAATTATGATATTTTCATGTATCATATTAATTCAATAAATAAAGAAAATTCAAATATTAAGATTTAAGATTTATTATATATATTTATTAATATATCGATCATTTATCATTTTTTATTTATATTCTTTTTTTTTTAATTTCAGATTTTCAAAATTTTGTTTCACATATTTCAAGTATATAATCAATGAAATAATATTTAAAACAATGGTTCCTTTTATATTTTAGCTATTTTAGAAAGAATTTTCTAAAATAGATTCGAGATCATCAAGCAAATATTTTTGCCATATATCCAGGTGCCAATATCAATAATTACATCACTGCAGTATGTAGCGCGCTTTAGGGCGTCGAAACGGAGAGAAAAGGACCGAACGGCGATCGATGCATTGAGGCGCCAGGCCCCTGAGCTCAGCCCCGTTTCGTTTCATCACCCTCACCCCGGTATACCTTGCAGCGAGGCTGCCCTCCGGGCTTTCCTCTACTGTGCAGTTGCGCATCAACCTTTTCACAGTGTAGATCTGCATTCGGTCACTGGACTTTTCGTTTGATACAAACGTTGTTTCCTTTTTGCTCATTTTTTATTTGTGATATATTATACAATTCGTTGTATATATTTTGAAAAAAAAAAGAATCATGTTACCGATTTTATTTTTTTATATAGAATTCTCGATTTGGTATTATTTGTAGTGATATTAATTAATAATGTCATAAATATGTCGGTTATCATTATCGTCGAGATTTGCAATTTCGACGTGCTTGAACCATTTTTCGAGCACACGATCCGTTAAGTACAAAACGATTCGGTGTCATCGATTCAGACTTACTATTGTGATGTTCGTTTCACTGACAGACGATTATGGTAAATAATTCACATATTATTATAAAGATTAGAAAAAAACATTTTGAAAAGTACATACTTTGTGTATGTTGAAAATTTTATTAGCATCGATTCGAAATAAATCTATATTTTCTTATTATTTTTATCCAATAATTATAATTTTTTAATTTTAATTTTTTAATGGATAAATTATTTATAAGTATAAGATTAGTAGATTTTTATATTATTTTTATATCGTTTATATTAAATTTCTTTTATATTTGTTTTATTATTAATTTTGCTGCGAATTTACTTAATTTTTACAATATGTTTTGGTAGTGAAATGATTAGATATATTTTATTAAGTTACATCTTGTAGAATGATTCCTAGATAAATACGGAAACCAAATGAATATCAAAGAATTGAAATTTCTAAAACGTGAGATTTAATACGATTCCAATGAATTTTTATATGAGTACATATATGTCGTACAAGTAACTGAGAATTATGTTCATTCGTTTAATATATATGTATTATAATAAATAATAAATATTTAAATTGAGACTGTATAAAATCATAAAATTATAAAAATGACTGTGCTAGAAATGAAAAACTTTTACCGTGCGTATGAAGTGTTTTTTATTGTGTAAATATACAAAGGATAAGAGGGATAACCAAGTACTATCTCGAGAATTGAAACGTATTGTTTGCCGGTACACTTTTGGCCTTTATGCAATGTGGTCCAAGTATTTGATTTAGCTTGTTCACCTACTTCGGTAAATGGCTCTTTTCCCCTTTTTACAAGACACTATCACGTGATAGAATTCCTTGTTGATATTTTACAAAGTAGGTTAAACGTTAAAATGAAAAAAATAAAAAATTAATAATTCATATAACTAATGTTATATGTGATAATAGAAAATAAAAAAAACAATATTTTATTATTTCATATGCTCGTCTTTGATATTGTAAAATAATTTTAACGGAATGGGGGATGGGAAGGGAGAAAGAGAAAAATTTGTGGAAGAAAAAAATTATGTTAAAAAGTTAAAGGGCATTATAAATAAAAAAATAATTTCCTTTATATCGTAAAAAGCCATCAATCTTTGTTTACAGGAGATAGCTGATGCTGGTGATGGTTATAAACGATTTCGTATAACTGCTCTAGTTCTGTATATATTTCTATTTGGATGGACAGACCGCGTGGCAGCTGGCGATTGCGGTCTGGCCGAATTAACTTGCCGGGATGGGCATTGTGTACCGATTGACGCGTATTGCAATGGACGAGATGATTGCGGAGATAACAGTGACGAGCCAGCAATGTGTACACCTTGTAACCGTACGTATCACGGACACGAAGGACGTACGTACAAATTGGATCTTCCGAGACCTGCCGAGGAACGTCTGCCATTTCTTTGTCATTTAACATTTACCGCTGCTGGTCAGGGATACGGTGAATTGGTACAACTTTTATGGGATGCTTTCAGCGTAGGCAGAATAGATCCAAACACCGATAGTTTTATCACAAGTTGCCCAGAAGGATCGTTGCAATTGGCAGAATTGGGTAGACATTTTACTGGTGGTTCTTGGTGTGGAGTGGGAGAAGGAAAAGCTTCTTACTATAGCGAAACCAGTACCGTCACGGCATCCATACGACTGTTTCATGCACCTTCTACTGTACCATTCGAGTTTCGTTTAAGGTATAGATTTGTGTCACGAAATGAAGCTGTTGCTAGATTGGGCAAGCCCGAACTTCCAATTGAAAGAGGTTCTCCGGTGCCTGGTACTTACTGCTCTAGGAACTTTTATGAATGCCACTTGAAACAATGTAGATTGCAAAGTCCAAATTATCCTGGGGAATATCCAAGAAATGCAAGCTGCTTAATAACTATAAGACAGAAGGAAGTGCCTACTTGTAAGCACGCTATGATTTCAATAAGATCGACACCAACTGGTCCAGTTGGTATAACCACAGCTAATAGTACTTTAAGCGTATGGCAAGATTGCCCTCTGGAAAAAGATCATCTTATCTTTCGTGATGGCGTCAGACCAGAAGATGCGATTTTATTGATTTATTGTGGAGGACCTTTACCAAGGATCACTGCCAGAGGTCCAACAATGCAAGTGGAATTTCGAAGTTCCCCAATAGCTATTCCTCTTGGTGCTTCTGCCTTGAGACTTGAACTAGAAATTCAAGTGATTTACGTTGACTCTGATGGGCTTGATTATGCGAAAGGCCCACAGGGTTGCCATTTTTTTGTAAATGGTACTAATAAAAGAAGCGGTATATTAAGAGCGCCACTTCATGCACTGCCACCAAATTCCAGTTGTACCTGGAATATTAAAGGATCTGTCGGAGATAGAGTATGGATTTATTTTTCTTCGTACTCGCAACGAGACTTAACAGGTAGTGTCGAGAACAATGCCAGTTCTCAATCTGATGTATCTTGTGCGATAAAATTGATATTTTGGGATGGTACTTCGACTACTGGACTTCCAATGGCTACTCTTTGCGACGACACGCCTAAACTGTGTGCACACGCAGCTTTAAGAAATGTCACTAGAAGTACGAGACCGTGCACACAAGATGAAAGTTATATCACAGTTGCACCATCTTTAACGTTACGTATGGAAACATTGTTGGGTACTGCACTTCATACGGTTAACTTTAATGTAAGCTAATAATATTATATTATATTGATATTATAATCTTATTTTTTTTATTGAAATATTGTTATTATTAATATTGTTATTATTATTATTAAAGTATTAAAGTATTATGATACTGTATAGGCACAATACGAATTTATCTCTACCATTCAAGTTGGTGAACCCTGGGGAGATGGAGTTTGCAGTAGAGTTTGGCGAAAAGTTCGAAGTGGTGATATAATATCCCCCCGTGACGTTCGTCTCTTTGGAAGGGGAGGATCTTCAAAATTAGATTGCAGATATCGTATAGAAGCTGGTGCTGATGAAAGAGTGCGATTGACATTGCACAACGTCAGTTTAGGCGAATCCACCACTTGTACAAGTGAACCAGATCCTCATACTGGCCGACCACGTTGTGTTCAGGAAATGGGTTCCAGAGAAGCTCGTTTAATTTTATATGAAGCTCCATGGCGAGATGTAAAGCTTCCAAGAGCTTGTTTATGTGATAATACATCGCATCTTCCATTGACGCACATTTCTTCGAGCAGAGCTTTGGAGATCACGTTTTTGATAGATCAACAAGCTCCGCACGAGGACTTCGAAACCCTCTTTTTTTATGCCAGCTTCGAACTTGTCCGATCACCCGAATGTCCGAGAAAGCAAAGGGTACGCGGAGAAGGTGATTATTATTACCATTAAATTTTTAATATTCTTACAGATCCTTATGTATAAGAAATCATTTTTACAGGCGGTGAATTACGATTCGTGACTCCACCATTATCGAGGCCAGATATTTATTGCGATGGATTACCATGGTTGGTGGAAGCGCGCGAAAATAGATCCCTTTTCGTTTTAACTTGGGGCTGGTTCCTTCCTCTCGAACCATCACCGGTATCGGAAATGAGCGAACAAATCAAATGCCCGACCACCAATAGAATTCTTCTTTATTCCGGTTGGCCACCGAAACTTTTAAAAGTAGTGTGTCCCGCGGAACCAGGTGCAAGAGAATTCACAGTTCATGTTTTCTCCGAGGAATGGTTAGGAGGTACTGGGGAGGGTAAATGGCCAGGTCCGCCACGACCTCCTGCTTTTCTGCTCGACTTCGTCGCAAGGGAATCTGGTCAGGCTGCAGCCTCCTGGCTCGAAATTTCAAAAAGTAGAGCTGCATTGCGTAGACAGTTACGATTACCTGAAAGAGGAATAGAGAACGAAACGTCAACTCACGGTGACTGTCCCCATAAATGTCCTGAATTAAGCGCTTGCATCGCGGCAAGCCTTTGGTGTGATGGAAGACCTCATTGTCCATCTGGACATGACGAAGCGAATTGCGGTAATGGTGCGAAATTGCTTGGATTACTCCCTTCAGAAATGTGGCTCGTATTAGCCGGTGTCGCTGGAATCATCGCTGCCTTTGCGTGCTTCTTTATTATACTGATTAGCAGGTATGATCATAAAAGATATTGTGTGTTACATATTATTGATTATTTCTTTTTTTTTTTACATAATTTAACTATTTTACTTTAGGTCAAGAGCACGTACAAAAAGACTTCATTATAAGGGTACAAAGAAAAGCAATAGACCGAGACGAGCCCCAACAGAGGAAACATTACTTGGAGCAGCATCCTGACAACAACAACCCGGTTTCGTGGAATATATCCACGTGGACCGGGAAACAACTGTTTAGCAATATTTCTCTGCGCTTTACCGTCCACTAACTTAACACTATCCCCAAGCATTAAATTCAAGTTCAAGTATTTTTCTTTCTATTAGCATTTATCTGTATGTTGCGTTATTTAATTCTTTTTACATATTTTAAAATCTTCCAGTTGTTTTTAATTATAATTGTTATATACTTGTTCGTTTATTCATTTTATATATGGTTATACATACGTGGTTGTATATATTTTATCAGGATGCAATAGAGAGGGACATAAAGCATAATCATACACTACTTTTTTCTTTCAAAAACTTTTGAATAATATTACAAACATCATTTTGTTATTCAGGCAGTTAGAGTGATAGCAATATCAGTGTTCTTATTCGTGCAATATGAGTGTATGATAGAAAAAAGTGAATGATAATACTCATTATTGCAGAAACTGCATTATAAAAACTCGATTCCCGAAGTTATATGAAAAAGTATATCAAAGTATACTTACATATAATTCGTTACGTTATGACTGTGTAAGTTCATTTAACAACACGATGTTTTATAAACAAAAGAGATAGTAAATGCAATTAATATAATATACAAGAATAAATCGATAATTTAAAAGATATCACACATATTGCTCAAAAAATATTGTAACTGCCAAAAAAGAAAAAATATTTTAATTTTGATTAGCTGATATAACACATTTTAGCAGCAATAGAAAAAAAAAAGTAATAGAAGAAATATTCTGAATGCAGAAAAATAACTTTTTTATATTTTAATGTAGGAAAAAAAGTAAGTTTTTAAAAAATACAAAATCGAAATTGATTACATATTTATTCTTACATCTAACAACAATGCCAAAAATTGATTTTAACACGTTCAGTATCTATATTTCTCTTGAGATTTTTAAACATATTTTTATGACTTTTGCTCTCAGATATTTAATTATATATTTTAAATAAATTATATTGGAAATAAAAAGAGAGTTGTAAAAAATAAAAATTGTTATTTAACTCGAAAGCTTATTAAATTTGCTGGAAAAGCTATCGATGTTAATAATATTAATATCTACTATTTTTCATTTGCTAAATATAAAAATACTACAAAAATATACTATACTTAAGGGAACAATTGTAGATAAAGTTCCAGCGCACAAGAAATTGTGAAAAAAGAAAGAAAATAAGAAGAAAAAAAAAATTAGCTGAGATTTATAGTACAATATTATATAACAGTGTTATCCTAATTTGTTTATGTGATTAATTTTCGATTTTAATACGAGACTTAAAAATTAGTATTTATCTTTTCATTGTTTTATCTTTTATTTCCTATTTATATATATTTACAATTTATATATAGTATTAATTAACTTGTAATGATAGAAAAAACTAATAGAATATATTCTTATTAACCAAAAAAGAAAAAAAAACAGGTAACGAAGTAGGTAAAGTATAGAAAATAGAAAAAAAATTAGAAGATATTTCTGCAAATATTCTAAAAAAATGATCATTCATAAAATCGCTGTTATACAATATTTAGTACTATAGTTTATAGATGCACTTACAAAAACATAGCTGTGACACAAAATGTTGGAAGATATTGATAATATAATTTACGATTATAAAGCACTTGATAATGTTAAAATGTTGTTATTAAAATATAGTTACTGTTACAATGAACAACTGATACATATTATTTGTACGAAAGAAAAAGAAACTTTCGCCTATTAGATTATTTCTAATTAGACGATTCGTACTCAAGTATTGAATCATTGTATTGAATATTTTAAACGAAAATTTAATCTCAGTTGCGAACAACAATTCAAAAAAATAAATCAAACATAGTTTTTAATTTAATTAAGTACGAGAGATAGATAATGATAAATATTGAGAGAGAGAGAGAGAGAGAGAGAGAGAGAGAGAGAGAGAGAGAGAGAGAGAGAGAGAGAGAGAGAGAGAGAGAGAGAGAGAGAGAGA